TGCTTTTTAAAAGGAAACAGCATTTCTGCGACATCTTGGGACATGCCTGGTGTTCATTCCGGCTGCAAGAGAGAGACACTTTCAGCAGATAACAAGAAGGCTGAACGGACAACAACAAAGATGTTCTATTCTTTTGAGCGTTTGAACTATCTCATATGATGAATCTGGAAATGTTGGCAGCCTTTGGGTTTTGGGTAAGGATCTACATCTTCTAACTGATTGTAGTGTAAAGCCCTTTGGGGTCTCTGGGGATGCTATTCAGGTGCAGGCCGTTTATCATCTCTAAAACACACACGGAGACAGCTGTGGCACAAAGTTTAGAAAATATGTTTTTAATGTGATGCTTATATTTTTTTTATTATAGTCCTCGTACTCGTCTTCCGCTTCATCCGGGACCGGGTCGCGGGGGCAGCAGACACAGTAGAGATACCCAGACGTCCCTCTCCCCAGACACCTCCTTCAGCTCCTCCGGGGGGAGCCCAAGGCATTCCCAGGCCAGCCGAGAGACATAGCCCCTCCAGCGTATCCTGGGCCGTCCCCTGGGCCTCCTCCCGGTGGGACGTGCCTGGAACACCTCCAGGGGAAGGCGTCCAGGAGGCATCCGGTATAGATGCCCGAGCCACCTCAACTGGCTCCTCTCGATCTGGAGGAGCAGCGGCTCTACTCCGAGCCCCTCCTGGATGGCCGAGCTCCTCACCCTATCTCTAAGGGAGTGTCCGGCCACCCTAGGGAGGAAGCTTATTTCGGCCGCTTGTATCCGGGATCTTGTTCTTTCGGTTATGACCCAAAGTTCATGGCCATAGGTGAGGGTAGGAACGTAGACAGACCGGTAAACCGATAGCCTCGCTGTCGGCTCAGCTCTCTCTTGACCACAACGGACCGGCACAGCATCCCCATTACTGCGGCAGCTGCACCGATCTGTCTGTCGATCTCCCGCTCCATTCTCCCCTCACTCGTGAACAAGATCCCAAGATACTTGAACTCCTCAACTTGAGGCAGGAACTCCCCTCCAACCTGAAGAGGACAAGCCACCCTTTTCTGGTCGAGAACCATGGCCTTGGACTTGGAGGAGCTGATCTTCATCCCAGCTGCTTCACACTCGGCTGCGAACCGCCCCAGCGCATGCTGTAGGTCTTGGCTAGAGGGGGCCAGCAGGACCGTGTCATCTGCAAAAAGAAGAGATGAAATCCACTGGTCCCCAAACCAGACCCCCTCCGGCCCTTGGCTGCACCTAGAAATCCTGTCCATAAAAGTTATGAGCAGGTCCGGTGACAAAGGGCAGCCCTCCGGAGTCCAACATGCACCTGGAACAGGTCCGACTTAGTGCCAGCAATGCGGACCAAACTCCTGCTCCACTTGTACAGAGACCGGATGGCCCCTAATAAAGGACCCCCGACTTCGTACTCTTAGAGCACCCCCTACAGGGCACCACGAGGGACACAGCCGAATGCGTTCTCCAGGTCCACAACACACATGTGGACCGGTTGGGCAAACTCCCATGAACCCTCGAGTACCCTGCAGAGGGTGTAGAGCTGGTCCAGTGTTCCACGGCCGGGACGAAAACCACACTGCTCCTCCTGAAGCCGAGGTTCGAATATCGGCCGGACTCTCCTCTCCAATATCCTGGCATAGGCCTTACCAGGGAGGCTTAGGAGTGTGATCCCACTATAGTTGGAACACAACCTACGGTCAACCTTCTTATGAAGGAGGACCACCACCCCAGTCTGCCCGTCCAGAGGCACTGTCCCTGACAGCCACGCTATGTTGAAGAGGCGTGTCAACCATGACAGCCCCACAACATCTAGAGACTTGGGGTACTCAGGGCAGATCGCATCCATCCCCGAAGTCCTGCCACCATGGAGATTTTTAACCACCTCGGTGACTTCAGCCTGGGTGATGAAAGAGTCCAACCCCGAGTCTTCAGTCTCTGCTTCCACCAGGGAATGCGTGATGGCAGGATTGAGGAGATCCTCGAAGTACTCCTTCCACCGACCGATAATGTCCCCATTCGAGGTCAGCAGCTCCCCACCCCCACTGTAAACAGTGTTGGCGAAGCACTGCTTCCCCCTCCTGAGGCGCCGGACGGTTTGCCAGAATCGCTTCGAGGCCAAACGATAGTCCTTCTCCATGGCCTCATCGAACCCCTCCCAGGCCCGAGTTTTTGCCTGTGCTACAGCCCGAGCCGCGGCACACTTTGCCTCACGGTACCCGTCAGCCGCCTCAGGAGTCCCACAAGCCAACCACAGCCGATAGGAATCCTTCTTTAGCTTGACAGCATCCCTTACTACCAGTGTCCACCACCGGGTTCAGGGATTGCCGCCACGACGGGCACTGCAGACCCTACGGCCACAGCTACGGGCAGCAGCATCGACAATAGATGCGGAGAACATGGTCCACTCGGACTCTATGTCTCCAACATTCCCGGAATCTGGTCAAAACTCTCCCGGAGGTGGGAGTTAAATACATCCCTGGCCGAGGGCTTTTATTATTGTTCTCAAAAAGCAAATGGAATCAACCAAATTAGGTCTCAGCGGGTCAAAACTTAATAAACAGCTGATATCTGAAAACCACATCAAACCTCTAATAAGTGCATTTCTACTTATAACAAATAGCTTTTGGTTAAAGCCATGAAAGAAAGTGGGCTGTATGCACTATTTATAGTTTCTGCATCCATTAATCTGTTGGCATTCACACAAACAAGCCTCCACACAAGAAGGAACAGGTACATTGTGCAAGCGTGGGGTGCTTCATTACAGTCTACAGTACTTTTTGACCCTAATGACAAGTCTGATTAGCAGGTGAAAACATCACATGCAGAAAATCCCATCTTAGTTGACAGTGTACTGAAAATACCTGCTGTGGTGTTCAGGTGACACATCACCTAAATCCTTCTAAAGCCGACTCTAATTAAATGTAATGATAACCCTGAGAGGAAAGTGTGCCAGTGAATGACGTCCTGACAGTTGCTAGGAGCAGAAAGAAAAATATGAATCCTCTGAGATGCTGAAATCTCGGCTTTCTAAAAATGATATGCAGGCAACTCCGACTGTTAGACATTGTTGTGAGAAATTATGAATACACAGAACTAAACTAGAGGACAAGGAAAATTACTCTATGCCTGGTAAATGCCAGTCGGAAGCTGTGTTAACATCAATAAAACCAAATACCGAGACATTCTTCAGAACATTGATTTGGTAGATGCAAAATTTATTACCTGTAATTATTATAAGGAATAACCTAGGGATGCTTAAAATTCATCTCAAGCAACATCAGTCTTAGCTAAACTTAATTCTTTTTTATTACTTAAATTGTGAGCCAGATCCCTGGTGATGCAGAAACTCAAAGCTGGCCTCACACATTTGAGTTACAGACCACTCCATCAAGACAATTTCAGGGAGACACGTTGCCCGCTGCTGCCAAGCCGGAGAAGTTAGTGGCTGTAACCCAGTGGCAAACATTTTCTTGGCTACAGCGAGGGCAGACTACAGAATGGATTCCTCTGGTAAAGACAAATCTACAGAGAAATAATGGTTATGTACAAGCTAAATATTCAATCCAAGCATGCTGGAGAGAGGGAAACCTCCCTCATGAGTCTAGCATATACACCACATTTTGAGCATATACTCAAAATGTGGAAAAAGTCATATCAAATTCATTGCATATCAAATATGGCCAACCTTCAAGATATGAAAAACGAGAACATGCAATTCAATTAAGGCAGAAATGGGTTTATCTTCGTGAATTTAGAAAATGGCAACAAGAAAACAGCTACACCCCTAACACCCCCCCATATTTACAATGAGACCAATTAAACGTTTAAAAGAACTGGAGCTTTGGCAATCAACAGAGGGAGGGTTCACCAAAAGAATCGCAATCGTCTGTGTGAGGTAAATAAACTGTAATAATGAATTTATGATTTTCATGCATCTTCACCACAGTCTGTCAATAAATGTGGAGGCAAACGTGTATAAATATGTGCATATACAGTGTGAGAGCATGGATAAGACTGGAGCATATTGGGTTAGTTTGTTGCTTTTGCTTCATGTGATGCTGTTTTTTGTATGCTGCTTGGCTGTTTGGATAAAATAAAGTTAATAAGATGTATCGCTGTGGTCTGCCTTTGCAGGCAACCCTGGAGATTGTAAAAGCTGTTACATAACAAATAAAGACTACACTTTACAGGAAATGCATTAAAGCTTTCAAATTTATATAACAGCATCTAAAATAAATCTGAGGAACAGATCATGACCCCATGTAATTCAATTTAAAATAGGAGTCCAAAGTGTGGCTCATGGGCCATTTGCAGTCCTTAGGATGATTTTGTGTGGCCTGCGATCAGAATTCAAGAATGGTATAAACTTGGCCTGCCAGCACACATGGTTGATGCAGATGGACAGTATATATTTTTGTGAAGTTCTTCCCCTGGAAAATGTTAGGTACACAAACTTGTTCCTTTGTGTTGTCATTGTTTATCAAAAAAACATGTTTTTTGCTTTCATTTTATTTCGCCAAAGTGCAAACTTGGGCACACACATTCTTGAACCTGTATAAAATGAGCTACAACAATAATTAATTTTCCTTTGGGATGAATAAAGTATTTCTGAATTGAATTGAACTGAAGTGAATTAATGCTTGGCTCAGTACAGCAGGCGTTTTCAAACAAAGAGGGACCTATAAGACATTTTTGAGGCTGAGAATAGACTAAATGTTTTTCTTAGACCAAAAACATAGAAAACAGTCAGTCAGTCATTTTCTACTGCTTATTCCATAGTGGGTCACGGGGAAGTTGGTGCCTATCTCCAGCAGTCTACGGGCGAGAGGCGGGGTTCACCCTGGACAGGTTGCCAGTCCATCACAGGGCAACACACAAACAACCATGCACACACCTAAGGGCAATTTAGAGTGACCAATTAACCTAACAGGCATGTCTTTGGACTGTGGGAGGAAGCCTGAGTACCCGGTGAGAACCCACGCATGCACGGGGAGAACATGCAAACTCCATGCAGAAAGACCTCCGGCCAGGAATTGAACCTAGGACCTTCTTCAGTGCTACCAACTGCGCCACCGTGCAGCCCCACATAGAAAAAAGTTGACTCAAAAATTATATGCTTTTCTTTTGATAAGACAAGATCATTTTTATGTCCCAGATCTATGATTTAATTTAAATAAATATGTTATATATGAACATAAACATATGATATATGTTTAGTTAATTGTTGAGCTGGTACAAATGAAAAAAAAAAAAATACAACAGAACCATCAAGTACCTTCAATTTCAGGAATTTAGGCCACGTTATCAGATTTCATCAACCAGTAAAACTATAAGAATAGATCTGACTGCAGTTTAACAAGAGTCTATTAAAGACATATATCCAACAGTGTCTTGGTGCTATGTTAAAGAATTACCTGAATTTGAAGTTAGTGTCGTGATTAGTCTTTGTAAGACTGACTCTTTTAGCTTTAACACTTCTGGCAAACTTAAAATTTCATTAGTCCTTTGCTGCAGTTTTTGACTGGCTTTTTCGGTCCTCGCTGTGTAATTTGTCGAACATTACTGCCCTTGGTCCACTTTGTGGCCAATTACTGGCCCTTCGAAACACAAACGTCAGGAACAAAAATATGCAGCTGGTGAGACAGAGCAGACAGGCTGGCCTGACAACACGAAGACTCATAAGTAGATTTTTTATTATATTTTGTCAGCGTTGCAAAAACATAAGGTTTAATTTATACTTAAAACTGCAGCTAATGCCTCACAAAAATACCAAAGCAACCCTCTGGACACACATTTAATCACATTGTGACAAAAAACGTTATATATTTTTTTGAGATTTAATGAGAAAGATGAACACAAACAAGTCAATGTTTGTGGAACCACCTCTTAGTGCAATTACAAGCTGCACGTCTTCTTGGGCATGTCTCCACGAGCTTTGAACACCTAGAGACTGAATGTTTTCATTTGAAAAATAGTTCAAGCTCAGTTTGTATGGAAGAAGAGCATCAGATTCTCAATTGGATTTACATTTGGACTTTGACTGGGCCTTTCTAACCATTGACTATGCTTTGATGTAATCCATTCCCTAGCAGCTCTGGTTCGTTTTGTATGTTTGTATGCTCCATTTTCAAGTGTTTTACAGCCTTCAAGAGGTATTTACCTCCATTCAACTTTCAATCAACTCTAACCAGCTTCCATGTACCTGATGAGGAAAAGCTTCCTCACAACATCATCACGGCACCTTGCTTCCCAATGAGGATGGTGTGTTCAGGTGAAGTTTTTGCTCCACACAAGACATTTTGCATGTTTGAAATGTTTAATTCAGGTCTGATCTGATCAGATCACCTTCTTCCACATGTTTGTTGTGCCCCCCAACTTAATGGTCCCTGACCATAGTTCTCAGGACCCACTGTCCTGTCCAGCAAACCTGAAAATTCAGCAAGCCACCATGTGCTACAGAAGCCTGTAAATCACCCATCCACATAAGCCGTGGCAGCACAGAAACACTTAAAATAGGCAGGGCGGTGGGCCCTTAGGACCAGAGTTAGGGGCCTCTGCCCAACATGACTTGTAGCAGGCTTCCTATCTTTTCTTTTCATAATGCTGTTCTTCTTGTCAATCTTCCTAAGTTCTCATTTCAACGGATTCTACTAGCTACCCAGTTTACTAAGTAGATGCCTCCTAAAGGTAATGGGTTGAACTGGATTTTATTTAGGGGCATTAGGATAAATGCAGGTGAATATAAATACATAAATGACTTAATATTTTTATTCTGAAAAAACATTTGAAATCTATGTACCATTTTTTTTGTATTACATTACTGTGCACAATGCATAATTGTGTTTATCACATAAAACCCCAATCGCATGCATTAGAGTTTTGAGGTGAAAAGGTCAAAGGTCCTTTTCTCTTGTCACTAGCTGCAGAGGACCTGCTTTGCCAATAACTTAGCATAGCAATAAATCTTTTTCAGAAATAATGCATCTTTAAGTATTCCCAGTTGTCACTGCTGGGCATTTGAAGAAAACACCCATGCGAATGTGTATATGTGTGCATTTCTAGGAAGAACAAACCTTCAGCCATCATGCCGTGAAGCTTTATCAACCTAAATGAGCCCCAGCTTACCCTCTCTGATAGGAAAGAACAGGAAGGTGACCAGAGATAGAGTTTTTCCTGCTACAGAGATACACATGTACATGCACGAATAACTATATGGCCACAACAAAAACACTTACAGGTGACACAAATGAAGCTAATGGTGTGGTTGCAAAGCCATCAACTTCTTGGAAACCTTGGGTGCTGCCCTTCATGGGGATCTTACTTTAACACATCCCACCATGGTGGGAGAGGCCAACGATAAGTGTATTTATAGATGCAAGTTCCACAACTATACGCAAGCTTGTTTCAATGCATCTGCGTGCTCGAAAGATCAACACCCAAATAACACCAGAGGAAAACCACATAATTAAAATGATAATTTTCATCTGCTTTGCTGCAGAGAAATGTGTATGTACCTATGTGTGACAAAAAAAAAATGATAGCAGTCAGCAGGGTTATGTATGAATACGTCTTAGCTTGCCCTGCGATGGACTGGCGACCTGTCCAGGGTGTACCCCGCCTCTCGCCCATAGACTGCTGGAGATAGGCACCAGCTCCCCCGCGACCCACTATGGAATAAGCGGTAGAAAATGACTGACTGACTGACTGACGTCTTAGCTTGCACCCTCCTGTGCTGGAGACGCCATAACCAACACTTTCCCAGTCCCAAGGAAGGACGAACTAACACGTATTGCATATGTCTCATTATTTATGATGCTCTGAGTGCTGCAAATATCTTACAGGGGAGCTCCAGAGCGTTCCTGTATGTATGCAGATAACGACAAGAGCAAGATTTCTTACAAGCTCTCCACGGTCTTACCCCTGAGTCTACTGATAACATCATCCATCTAAGATGGGAGGCTGGGGGAGGATGGGAAGGTGGGGTAGCCGTGGTAAATACTCATAAGTACCTCTTTTTTGTGAGTGTATCTTTCCAGAAATTTACTTAAATAAGAGTCACATCTCCGGGGCGCTTTTACTTCGCAGATAAAAACTGGGAAAACCTCAAAGGAGAAGCTTGCTCTTCCCATCACCTCCCACACACATATGCACAGATAGGAGTGCACACATACACTGAGACATACTGTACAGATTCTCCTGGAATGTCTTTTATAGCTTGTACATTTGTATGTTTTCCTTCTAACCACAAAACACCAGGTTCAACAGGCAGTTAAAGATAAAAAGGAGAGCTGTCCCTTTTTCTAATTCTTCTGTCTGTTATTCTCAAAAACTATGTGTCACCTTGTTGTCTGATTCAAGCCGCGTAACCATGGAGATGTTTCTCAGCCCTACTAACACAAGTCCAGTGGAAAGAAGCTTTATGACTTAAAACAATGTTTTTCCTGTAGTGCTAAGAGTTTTTGTGACTTTCACGAGCAGTATGATATAACACAGGTTAATCAGAAACATCATCCTCTAACACCCTACTATACATGCAAAAGATATAATTTCTTTTTAGAATGTTTCAAAATGAAGCAGTTATTCCACGAAGGAAACTATGAGTTAAGCTTCTGTCCACAAGAGAGAGCTCTTCCTCCCTTTCTTATTTCCGAATGAGAATCAGAATATCCTTTATTGTCATTGTTACAAGTACAAACAAAATTGAGAAAAAAAAGCTATCTGGTCAGCAATAAATGATTTAAGTAAAATAGAAAAATGGAAGCAGTTGTTAAAAAGATCGAATATAAACAGACATACACACATTAACTCCTTTTTTATACAAGGAGGTTGGTTGAAGGTGGGGGAGAAGTTTCCAGCTGAGCTTTTGACACAAAAGGAGTGACGATCTCTCGGTTACACCCTCTATCCTTCACACAGAAAATGAAATATATACTTCTCTCTATCTCTTTCTCCCTCCTCCCCCCTAGCCTTTCGTTTTGAGACTGCTGGGAAATAGCGGTCACAGAGGAGTCAGCTAATTCATACCAAGAATAAACAAGAAAGATGAAAGAATGAATGTACAACCCTGAGCTGTATATGCTGTCCTTTATATTCCTCACAGCATCCATCTCAAATCTTCCTTTCTAAAATGTGTACTCTTTGCAATTCTTTCATAAAATCTATCTTTAAGAGATTGCATTCTTTGACATAGGTTTCATGAAAATATTTTTACCAGTTAGTTACCACTTACTTACAAAAATGTCACCACTTACAAAATGCAACAATCTTCTTGTCTCTAATGCACAGTTCATACCTCATGCTCCACTCGACCACGAAACCTGTGTGATGTAAGTTCTGTCAGCTGCAATGGCCAACTAGGGTCCACTAGGACTTACTGTGGACGTTTGAATGCAACCCAGATTTTTGTGACCTTGCTGACATTGACAATAATACTTCCAGTCACAGGGTGGCACCAAACAGGTAACAGATAAAGAAAGTGACGAATCAGGTCATGAACAGAAAAAAAGCAATAACAAAGTTTGTTTTTAAGAAATACGGGAAGGAAATATCTGCTGTTTTCCCCAATTTCTCCCCAGAGATCTTCTTGACAAATCACTTTATTCTATCTTTTATGTTTTTTTGCTTCTTCTTCTCCTCTAAGTAAACAATGAATAAACCGACGCATCACCACCCTCTGAGAGGCTGTTGTAAAAACTTTATCTGTGGGTGGATTGCGATTTTTTTATTGGAGAACAACTTGTTTAATGGGGTGCCGGCTTGTCCAAGAGGCTCGAGTTCAGGGACATGGAGAGGTATTTTGAGGCCTTACATTTATGGCTGCAAACAGTCAGAGCCTTACAAACACAAAGTACTAAAAACCTAACAACAAGTTATTTCACTAAACATTTAAGTAGTGCCACTAAGATGGTAAAGGTAAACACATTAACGTTTGCATATTAGCCAGCTATCTACTGCGAGTAAAATGCTGACGGTTGTTAACCTCTGCACAGAGTAAACTTCAAAGTGTCTCTCAGGTGATTTACCATTTTTAGCTTTTTCAATTCTGTATCAACACAAATATACTATAACAATCATTAATC